AGCCGGATTCATAAGACTGGACGAGCTGGAGGTCTCTCTTACACGGATTTGTCCGAGTACATGTCGTCCCCTCTCCTGTGCTTGGCCCTTCGCAATTTTGTGGATCTGACCGCTTGTAATCCTGGTAGGCTCGCATGTTCTCATCTTGACTTCCTCCAACTCTCGCCTGAGTTGCAGTGGATCTCGTGTGCTCACGGACGATGAGTCTGGAGTGTGAGAAGCAGACTGTTACTCTTCAACCAGAGAATCAGATTCCGGAGCTGCCGGATAAATTTAGTCCCATGTTTCCGGAGGAGGAGGAGGCGATGGATCCAGCGACGTCATCACCCCCTGCTGCTGAGGTGCGTTCAGTATGATACAATGGCGATCTCTCATCGATTCAATCTCTAGGACCAAACGGACGAAATGCACTATGTGAAGGAAGCATTGAACGAGATACCGTGTCCTTCCCCGCCTGGTAAGATCTTTCTGTGTCTCTTTTGTCCTATAATGCTTTCCTTGGTGCTGCAGGGTTGCTGGAGCTAACGATGTACACATTCACGACCCCGCAGTCTCGTAAAGCCTTACAGAATTTCTGGTGTAAGACTAGTGGTTCGTGTATCCTGGAGCGACCCTGCTACGTGCCAGTCCGCGAGAAGGTGGAGAGGCTTTGGGACAGTGGCGTCCTTGCGGTTCTACTGCTGGGAGTTCCTGGCATCGGCAAGACGGCATTTATCATCACCACGCTGCTCAAGCTGTTGAATGAAAGGAAGCCAGTTGCTTTTCAGACCAAGGGCGGTTCTCTCTACTTCTATGAGCCGCAACACAACAATGAAAGCAAGGTCATTGGTCAGGATTACTCGTGTCTCCGGCTGAAAAACAACGGCATCCTGCTTGATCCGGAGGTTTACTATCTGGTGGATGGCAAGCTGCCGTGTGTTCCGGAGTTTGGATGCAAAAGCTTGCTTGCTGCAATTCCGAAGCTGAGCAATTTCCAGGACTATGATAAGGATGGCCGCGGCAACCAGGTGATCCTGCCGGTGTGGTCTGCTGCCGAGCTCGCGGTTGCCTGGCAAGTGATGTTTGATCCGACACTGCCTCATGTCCAAGCGCTTAAAGGCGAGGAGGAATTGCTTGAGGCACGAAAGATGCTAACTTTGGATGTTGTCAAGGAGAGATACAGGAGATGGGGTGGCACGGCTCGCTTTGTGCTTGAGAAGCTGCATATCGACCTGGATACCATCGTCAGGGGTTTACAGTCTATTCAGCGTACAGTAGAAGCGGTGGGACAGCAGATTGCCGATGGTGACCATCCGTGTCACAAAGTAGTACACCAGAGGGTCAAGCAGGGATACAACGGGTACGAGTACATGTTTGCATCTCCCTACCTTGTCAAGGTGGCAACAGAGAAACTAAGCGAGTCTACCAGCGGGGAGTTGCGGCTGTTTTTAAGCTTCAAGGGACTGGCGGCGCATGGTGTCAACGGTTGCAAGGGCCACGTCTTCCAGCACGAGTTCATGACCCTGACGCAGAAATACAGCCGTCGTTGTTTCAAGGTTCGCCGAGTCCACGACGATATCAATGTGGTAAGTCAGGACGAGGAGCGGGTTTTTGAGTTTGGTGAAGTGGTGAAAGTCGACAAGATTGAGAATGTGTCACGTCCTTGGCCGGTCAATAGAATCATCTGGCCGGATTCACCCATGGAAGAGACAGTGGACGCCATGACGATAGTGCAGCCGACACCCCAGGATTTGCCCGAGCTCGAGCTGTTCCAAGCGACTCTCAGTTCTGAGAGGCATGAGCACGGCCTCAAATACTCAGGAATACTGAAAGTTATGGAGCACTTCGGGATTCCTCCCAGCAGGACCAGGGTGTATATAACTACTACATCTGAGCTCTATCCGGAAGCAGGGTATCAGAACTGGAGGAAATCGAGAGCGCTTAAAGATCAAAGAATCATCCGAAGACTAGTTGGGATCACACAATATGCCATGGACAGTGGAATCTAGACGCTTCAGCTGTAAATAGCGATGTCGGGAAGTGGCCGTTTAGATCTCCAGTGCCGAAGAAAGAAGGGGCCCGTATTCAAAGTATTATTTTAATGTTTGAATACGGGCCCCTTCTTTCTTCGGCCCGTATTCAAACATTAAAATAATACCTTCGATGTTTTAATATATTAGCTGGACAACTAAGTAAATATTTTGTCACTTATAAAATTTGCTTACAACAACTCAGTTCATAGACATAGTTCAACATGTTAAATACTATTCTTTACTATCACATGTTAACACCCTTATTTGTTATTGCATACTTATATCTAAGCTCCACCTTCATTACATCTATGAGAACTTGATTCACCATTTGTATTGTTCTCAAGACTTCCACAAGATAGCCATTGTAATCTGACTCTTGTATTTAATATTACAGATCAAATATGGCTTCTTTAGCATAACTTCTGAACAACTCATCCATGTAATGACTAATGACACCATTTTGGGTTAGATCTTACACTTATAACCTACATCCATGAAACTTCACTTAATTTTTCATATTTTTGTCCTTAAACCTTATTGCAAATACCATTCCTTAGTGCACAGTACCTACGTTATTAGTAATTATTAGTAATCAAGCTTGATGGTGACCCAGAGTACAAGCTTGTTACACTCCTTAATTTTAAATTATATGATGGTAAGTTATTTTTATCTTATTGATTGAGTTGATTACGTTTTGAGTGACTATACTTAAAAACTTACTGAAAATCTTGTTTATGCTCTCTTCTTCGTGTAAGGTTTGTTGTCATGTAGCAATAGGAGAACTTTGCGCAAATGTACCTTATCCTCTTTTATATTCTTGCTAAAAACAAGAATATTGTTCAAAAACAATCTTTACAAATTTATGAAGATAATGCCTAAATACTTTTATCATTAACTGAGTACACATGATTGGTGTATTTGTCAAATCAATGGCATAATTATGAACTTAAAATGCCTAAAACTTATATTGAATGCCATCTTAGAGATAAATACGTCATCTATTACAATATAATGATATCCACTCTACAAATATTATTATCTTTTTGTTTAAGGTACGGTAGTTAATACATATTTATACCAAATTGTTTTTTTTTTTCACGAGTAAGACTAGTGTGCTAAATGAAGACTTATTTAGCTGAATGAATCCAAATTCAAATAACTCCTTGATTTGTTATTAAACTTTTTGTTCTTCTGCATAACTCAATAAAAATGGATATTGACAAATTGGCTTTGTCTTTGGCTCTAATGTAATCTCATGTTCCACACCTTGTAATGGAGGTAACCTATGAGGAAGTGTGAATGGAAAAACATTAAAAAAAAAATTGAATGCATCCCATACTACTGCCTCTTCTGCACATTTACCTTGGTCCCCTAAATCATGAATAAATAAGTAACTTAAAAGTGTTTTTCCATTATAATAACCCACTTTAAAAATGTAGTGGAGAGCATAACAATTGAAAGCTAAAATCCCTCGCCAAACCACACATCCTTGATGGTACTATACTTTAGTGAGACACATTTAATGGTCTATTTTATCACTGGATTTACCTTTGTGAACCATGGCATCCCAAAAATTAAATCCATATAATGTATATCCGTGAGATAAAAAGTCTTCATAAATATGATTTTGCTAACCAATACTTCCAACCCCTTTATACAAACCGTGCTTGTAACATATATAGTTTTCACCCTTTACTTTATAATAATTTATGATAGGATAATTATAATTACACTTTCTGTTATATATGGAAGAACTCTTCGTGTCACTAGGGAGTGGAACTTAAACTCTTGGACATGTGGGCTAAGAGTAGTAGAGCGAAATCCAAATTTTAAGATCTTGTCCCATTGAACAAAGGGATGAAGTCAAACTCCTGAGCATGCAATTAAGAAGTAAAGCAACTAGAGCACAAAATAACTTCCAAATGTACAATTTAACTAATAAAGGGGCAAGAGTATAAAGTCATATTGGAATAGCCCTAGAACATTTAATATCCCAATACTAGGAGTAACATGCAAAACAAAGCCAAATGGAGTCTGACACTATTTTAGCATACTAGTGGCCTAATATAGAGCATTTAACATCCCAATGCTAGGATTAACAAGTAAAATAAAGTTAAAGAATCTCGCTCTCTTGACACATTACCCATTAGGTCAACCATAGTTGAAAAAAATTGGACTTGCCCAATGTCAATCTTAACATATAGTGTGATTCCCCTTAACTAACCAATAGAGTAGAACTTAATATTAAATGTAGAGTTTTGAGTTTGGATTTCTTGAAAGGTCACTCAAGCTAATACTATTTAAACCTAATGATGCTTAATCCCAAGTATTATAAAACCCTTAATTGATTCCCTCTATATTAGAACCCTTATGAATTGTTTATTAAGTTGTTCTATTTGGTTGCTTAAAGACAGGCATGCAAGTAGGGAGTTAGACTATGACTCATATCCAGGAGTTAAACTGTGACTCAGGTTGGTCAGCCATGCTTGACCTACCCACTATCCCTACTATACATTTAAAACCCCCTCATAAATACAGTAAACTATTATGTAATGAATGTTAAAGGATTAAACTCAATATCGTAGGGATTCCCAACACTAATAAGTGCAATGAGTTTCTCTAATTAGGTCAAGAATTTTTTATTAATAACATTTAAGAATTTTATCTTTATGGATTAATCCCTACTTAGAAGTCCTCGTAACCTAGACAAATATATAACTCCATAAACAAGTTTTCATCACTTGTTCACCACTTCTTACACTTTACATTGCAAGTACCAAAGTTCCTGTAGACAGCCAAGAATGTATGTAGCCTTTTGCTCTCTTCAATACACCAAGTTTTCACTCACTTGCCTAACATACATATATAGTAATAATGTGTTGTGTTCAGCTTTATTACATGTGGGTAATAATGACTATAATTATCAAAGATATCAACAACCCTAACCGCTGGTGATTTATGATATGGGTCAATTGCCACTTTTGTCCCTATGTGTTCAAAAGACTGTGATCAAAACCTATTGATGAGTCTTTTCAAATATTCTTTTGTTACTGCCATGATGGCTAAAGATCAGTATTGTTGGACCCTTTATCAGTCTCTGCCTAAGAACTGGTCTTCACGTGTACACTTGGCCAGAGGAGCATGACTTGCACTTGCTGTTAGCAAAGTTGATCTAGACACTGATATACTTTGGTGCCACCAATGGGAAGGTCTTGTTGGTGATTGAGGATTTAAAGAAAAGATAAAATAAAATGAAAACTTTACTTTTCCCTTACACAAATTTGTCCTATGATGATATATTATTATATTGTGCCTTTCATACTTTTCTTATGCAAGGCTAGCTGTGTCATGAAATTGACTACTTCACATAAAGAACTATATTGTATGCTATTAAGAAAATGAACCACAATAATTGGTCATATGTCTGTTGATATCTTCTCCAGTAAGTGTTTTATTAAAAATTACTACATTTTCTTTTTTATTATTAGGGAGATATGATGGAGATGAGTAAGTATCACTATGACTCATTTTTATGAGGTGATTTTCTAATTAAGGTAAAATATTTCTCCAAGATTAAGTTTCTAACTTTATAGGACAAGCTTAATAATTGTCACTAGGGGATTGCATTGGATTATGGTTCCACCTTAAAATTTAATATAATTTTGTGACTAGCTTTATATATATATTTATAAGCAACCAAAAGAAATAATTTGAGAGATGATCCATATAAAGGTTGAAATATAAAGGGAAAGGGCCCATGAATAAGAGTGCACTTTTTTCCAATGAGTTAAAGGTTTTGGTATAATTAGGTTGGGTGATCCAAAAACTTAATCTTTTAAGGTATCTTGCTTATCTCTTTTACTTGCTCAATGCCTCTTTAATATATATTATTATTGCAGATAAAGAATAGTGATATCTGACTTATGTAGCTCACTTAACCATTAACTATAGAAATCTTACAATGGGATCATTTTCTGACTGAAGGCAAAGGGTATCTATATGAATTTTTGCAAAAATGCTTGAAATTGATCTGCATTTAAACCTACATTATAAAGTTATAATTGTCACGAATGTAATTACAGTTATTGAAAGTTACTTATTGGCAAGTCCTTTCAAATATTCTTTCCTTACTACCATGATAACTGGAGGTCAGGATTGTTGGTTCCCTTTTCAACTCTTGTTGTTCAAGTGTTAGTTTAGCTAAATAAACATAAAATAGAAACTCCTATATATTTATTATTGAGCATATTTAGCCTAGCTTTTAATTCTCTTTTGTTCTGTTTTGCATTGGCTTGAGAAGAACCTTCCTGTATTGAGACTAATCCTTTAATATCGGTAGATAATAGTTTACCGTATTTACTAAACACTCTTATTATCATGCCCCACATATTAGTTATGTTTGGTCCTATTGACTATTTATAGAAAGTATCTAGATCTATTAGTTGGGCATATTTATAGAATGTATAGATTGTCTTAAACACAATGGTGTTATTTTTGTTCAAATTTGCAATTTAGTGCCATTTCGTATTTAGTAAATTTTTGTGATTATCCTAATGACTAACTTCTAGGACTAAGGTGAAAGCTCAAAGCATGTGTTCTTCGGGGGGGGGGGGGTGTGTTTCCAAATGTATAGTAGGATAATGGGTAAGTTGGGCATGGGTGACTATTTTGAGATATAATCTAACTCTTGTTTGTATATCTATCCTTATTTTGCATCTGGTTTGGGTTCAAGCCTCATGTTAATTGGTGGAATATCCATATCCTTATGTTAGGCCATTGTTATGCTAAAATAAAGCCAAACTCTATTTGGCTCTATTTTGCATATTGATCATAGTGTTGGGATACTAGATGCTCTAAAATTGTTTTTATACTGCTTTATGTTTTTGTCCCTTCATTCCTTGGGCTATAGCTTAAGAGTCATTTCATACTTTACTTCTTTCACTTTTTGACTCCATACTTAGAAGTTTGGTTTCATCCCCTCATTTAGTGGCCTAAAGCCCTAAAACATGGGATCCCCTTTGCTGCCTTTAGACATATGGCATTTTGCATGTGGCATATGGAGGGTTTAGGTTCCACTTCATAATTATTCTATGGTAAATCACAAAGGATAAAGAGTGAAAACCACATGCATTACAATAATGGAAAAAAATAAAAAGGCACAAATGCTTCAAAGGCCTTGAAGGCACAAATGAATTAGTCTATATAAAAAAATATAATAAAAATAAAAATATTTTATTTGATATACAAAATACAATAAAATAACTTTTATAGCATATAAAAGCTTCTGAATCTAATGATCGTACACTTAAAGCTTTATTAGTAAAGCTTTACACATACACACACATATATATAAGGAAAACTTAGAATAAAAAAGAAGATAAGATTAAATTAAAACTTACTCCTTATCTCCCAAGATCCTATTGCTATAGATATATTAACAAGCCTCTCAAAAATCTCGCACACAAAAACAAAAAAATAAAATCAAAACCTACTTAAATTTACTCTCTATCTATTTCAATTTAAAGAATTATATACTCCATGTGTTAGAGCTTTTTTATCTCCCCCAAACACCCTGCATTAGAACTACATTTGGAAACCTTTTATTTTGAGCATCTTATGCTTATGTAAAAAGAAAAAAAAACTTTAAAATAATATAAGAAACTAAAAAAACTTAAGAGATAATTCATTTTGGTTTAATATAAAAAGAAAGAGCCTATAAAAAAGAGTGTACCCTTTTTTCTGATTGGATAAGGGTCTTGGGATATTTGGGTTTTAACATTTTTAGTTTGAATAGTACTGGGATGTGTGACTTTTCAAAAAGTTCAAATTCAAGAGGTTACAAATAAAAGTTTATATAAAACTTACTTATTATTTCCTTTAAGTTAAGAAATTTTGTAGTCTCTCTATAACTTTTTATTTACTCTAAGCACCTTGCACTGGAAATAATCACCCTCACTAGCATTGTTATTGCTAGAAGTGGTAATAACAACAACAACAACAAGACTATTGCCACCACCACCAACAACACCATCAACATAGCCATTAGAAGTGGTAGGAGTAGTTGTATCACCACTATTACTATTACTACCCTCATCCATTTCCTTCCTTACCTTTACCCTTGCTCTTATTGCTTCTATTGTCACAGCTGCTACCACCCTCCTCCTCCTTTATTGCAATGATTGCCAGAAGAGGTAGCAACAAAAATATTACTATAATCACCACAAAAATAAAAAATAAAAATTGCAAAAACACTAGTCAAGTATACAAAGCTTCTCTGGAGACCAAAAGAGGAACTTTGAGTGTCTCCTCCATTCACTAGTTATGAATTAAGAATTGTAAAGAATAAAAAATCAAAGAAGAATAGTCACCTAGAGCATAGGGGTGTGTCTAGAATGTCTACTCAAACTATTCAAAGATTTTAACAAAGATAGTGAGTGCCAGTTATAAGCTACTTGCTAGATGGACCATAACATAATAAAATTGAGAATGTAAGCACAAGCATCTTGGGATGATTCTAATACCACAACACCATAAATGAATCACTATAAATCGAGTGCCAAATTCTTGGGTTGATATTTTAATAAAGAAATGCTTGCAATACTAGCTACAAGTCTAATGATAGTTTACCAATAAGAAAATATAGCTGCACCAGAAATCAAAAAAGATGTTGATGAAATGAATTAAAAAATATAGCTGAGATTTCATACACCAGAAATGAGAAAAGATATCATGCAATTTTAATTGTGAATTAATATTTATTCATCAATCCCTTGACTATATCCACAATTAGGAAAAATACTAACAACATAAATTATTAATAAATCTTGTAAAATATTATATAATAATCAAAATTTTATTTATTTATTATTAATAATTTACTGTGCCATTATTTATCTAATAGTTGATAAAATCATTTAATCTCCTTAAAAAATTCTCAATCTCTTTCCAACAGCTAGGATGGGTAGTTTTGCTTTTCTTAAGAAAACCTGAAGGGGTAGTAAAATACACTAGAATATTTTCCATCTAACAGTTGTTATTCATTTAGATTAATTTTTTAGTTATAAATTAATAAATATGTTTAACTTTAACACTTCCTAGTATATTCTAGTTTATTCTACCATCTCAATCTTGTGTTTATAATTATAAAATTTTATTTGATCAATTATATTAATACATAGAAATAACAAGCAAAACAAGAATTTCTAAATTATCTATAATAATGTTATTATTTTTTAAAGAACTTTTAAATGATATAACATTAATGCTAGATAAAAATCTTTCTAAAGAAAAACACTCAAGATTTTGACTTTGGTGCACCATGTTGTGGCAGAGCTTGACCATAAACGGTTCGATGCTCCCACCTCAAACTTTCGATCTTCCTCCATCGTGGCCGAGTTGAGAGGGAGCAGAGGCTCCCCATTGAGTATGAACCGTTAGATTTTTTATCAGCCTTGTACCTAGTCAGATTTTAAAAAGCTTACCTGAGTGCATGTCCCTTAGGACGAGCTGGGATAAGATACTTGTCCAGAGAGTAGCTCAGTTCGAATGCACTCCTAGTCGCCAAGGGTCTGGATGAGGTGTTCCACAGCATCTTGCGGCTGGAAAGCAGTAACTCACGTAAACAGGTCAGCTTTGGTTTTTCATTTGCATTCAATGGAAGATCGGGCTCACCACCCCGGGAGTGGTTTCTCCTCTGTCAGTGAAGTTCACAGCTCTGCGAATGTCTCCGGCTGGAAAGAAGATCTCCGGAGCCGGAACAGTCTCCTTCGAAGCTCTGGCTTAGGCGTGGTGTCAAACTCGAGCTGCCAAGCCTTGTCACAAAAACAGAGGCTTCTGCACCCTGTATCGGAGCTGAAGACGGTTACGTATCAGACAAGGAAACCTCTAGTTGCAAACCCTGAGGTGGATGCATCCAACTCCGTGGTGTCACGGGGAGCTCTTTTTTCTGCCGTCACCTGAGTGTTTAACACGACTACAAGCCCGTTTTCCCGCCAGCACCTTACTCAACGAGCTCCGATAAAGACAGTCTCAAAGACTATTACGCTCATCGTCACTGGGTAAGGCCTCTTTCCATGAGCTTTAAACCCGCAAGTTTAATGTCTGGCTCGTTCTCCAGGTAACAGAGAAGGAGGCTGACGAGGTTACCAGGAAGAAACAATAGCATGTTATTGTGGATACAAGCTGTTTCCTGGACGAAGATGGCTTCAACTCTCTTTTGAAACTGGAAGGTTTGAGAGAGACACGGGAGGTCATTGCGCTGGATAGAGGAGTGCATGGTGAAAAAGCCATGGTGGATACACGTGCAGAAAAGCAACGAGATGAAACCAATGGGCATGACTCCTCCGGTCTCTCCATCCGTGGCCGAGAACTTCCTCCCATATGCCGTGGATTTACTCTCTCCTACGAACGACGACCACGTCCTAGACTGTGCGCTGCTCTTCGAGAGAAGCGTTGTGGAAGGGAGAGTGGTACTGCTGACGAGCGACCCGGCCTTGAAAATCAAGGCAATGGCAGAGGTACGTGAGCTTTCTCTCTCCCCATGCTGGTTTCTAAATCTTTCTAGTGGCCAAGAGCTCTACCTCCTTCTGCGAGAGTCTGTTCAATCCATACTCCACCGTCGCTCGCAGCCCCGTTGTCTCTCCTCTGGAGCGCAGCAGTCTCTCTTCTTGTGGCAAGAATGGCGGCGCTGGCTCTGAGCTCTCGAGGATCATCCAAAGGGCGCGGGAGCTAATAAGTGCTAAACAAAATCGCAAGAGGAGGATATTCTCCGAGGTGATAAGCTCGAGATTGAATGGCCGGCCTGTGGACTCTGTAACGCTACTGCTCGCCACCTTTCTTGTCAACAAAGATGGGTGGGCAGCATTAATGGTCGCCGAAAATCTCCAGCCTACAAAAGACATCCTCTCTTGGATTGGAGTGGCATCAAGTCGATCAAGCATGTCAACTATGAGGAACTCTCTTCTTGTTCTTGCTATAGTTTTGTTAGCTGTGATTTTCGATCTCGCCCAAGCTCAGCCTGGTTTTGGGCGCGGGGGCGGTGGCGGAGGCGGTGGGTTCGGTGGCGGGCCTGGTGGAGGTGGTGGTGGACCTGGTGGAGGCGGTGGATTCGGTGGTGGACCTGGCGGGGGCGGTGGATTCGGTGGTGGACCTGGCGGGGGCGGCGGCGGCGGTACGGAAGAACTCACGCTTGTTCTTGGACGTTGATTTCTTTGTTTTTTGAAGGGGGATTTGGAGGGGGCGGCCGGGGCGATCGATTGGATTGCCAGGACTTCGTGGATGCGTGCCGCGAGTACGCCCGATTCAACCGAGCCCGGCCGGGAGGTTTGTGCTGCCAGGCGACGAGCAGAGTGGACGCCCGGTGCATCTGTCGCGTGGATCGGAACCTCCGCGGGCGCTACGAGCGAGCTCCCAGTGATTGTGGCCTCAGCCGGTTTCGATATCCCAGATGCGACTAAGCAGCAGTCTTAACTTCTAGCTCGTCCAAAATATGTATCCCCTGCTAAAGTTTATCGCGCTTTGGCCAAAGATCCCAAAGCTTTTCTTTAATCTCATGCCCCAGCCATGGTTTATGGCGGTGGGCTGTGATGTCCCCCTCACGCTCTCGCTCCGGTTTGATTTTCTTTTCAAGGAATTAAGATTTGAAGAAAGAACTAGCAATAGAAGAATGGAGATCACCGGCAGGACTCCTTTCTTGATTCTTTCCATATTCTCCTCTGCGGCAGCCATATTTTTCACGTGGGCTCTAGACATGTTAATGCCTGGATGATCATTGCCTGGATGAATCACAGATTTCAGACCAAAAAAGATGATTCTCTGCAAGACTTGAAATTTTTTTCCGTATATCATGATTTCTAGACTGTGGTACTACTATTTTCAACGAGAAAGGTTTTTATACTTTTTCTTTTATGAGTCTCAAACACGTGATTGATACTTTGCCAAAATGCTCGCTATGCCCAGAGCATTTGCTTGCCACCTCCATAATTCCATGTCAGTTCCAAGCATGAAAGGATTGTTGCTTGTAGTAGCTTCAAAAAATAAGATCCCTTTGTACCCTTCTTACCTTGGGAACAAATAGATTGGGACGTCTTGGAGGGAGATGTTTGATTTAGCTTTCGAGAAATCAAAGAATCCTATGATCATGATCTCCCCATGTACAAGACAACCCAACTTATTGGTTCCCTAATTTTTCTGGATAATCTCCATCAGCTGGGATGCTATAGGAGGACGAAAGGATTCCAGCGGACACGCGAAAGCTGGGCGTTGCTCGCAAAGGATTAAATGCATCGCTGTCCCGAAAGAGGCGTTTGGGTGTTACAGCAGAACAAGATCATTCGTCGCTGATTCAGGAGCTCCTTGACTTCAGCTCCAACACACACTGGTGAAACCTGCAAAACCGTGCCTACAATTTACAAAATGTCTTGGGGTCCTGACACTTTGTGGAAAAGAAAGACATACCGGAAATCTACATGATGAAAATCAAAATAGAAACGTTTACTCTGTTATTTGAAGGAAAGGCAGCACAGAATGACTTCCTTGTAGAAAAGTGAGGCTCGAGCTTTTGCAGCACCAGCCATGGTAAGAACACATCCATCAACAAAACACGCCCCAATACTTAGCAAAACTAAAGAAGCACCACTTTTCTTTTAGTTTTTCTTCTTTTCCTTCTCTTAAGAAAAAAAAAAGAACAATACAACAAGGATTCAGTTTAAGGTGATTTTTTAAAGATAATAAATGGAAATTATCAAAACTTTAAAGGCATAACTCAAAATTTAGCCAAAAGGTGATGGAGAAAAAAAAGTAAGATTTTTAGGTCTGGAAACATGGTTTTAGGGTTCTTGCTCGCGAGTAGTCATCTTACGATAGTAGCTGCAGAGCGCCGCTAGCGGCTGCGCGGCGGGGGGATCGGGGGCCGGCATCTCGCCGCCAAGGATCTTACAGCACTCGCCCATCGTCGGGCGCTCGTCCGCGTCCATGCTACAGCAGGTGAGCCCCAGATGGAGCAGCATTCTCGCCTCGTCCGGATTGTAGCTCGACCGCATCCTCTCGTCGACAATCTCCAGCAGCGCATTGCTCTCTTGCATCCCCCACACTCGATCGATGAGCGTTTTCGAGCAGGCGAGGGAGATCGTTCGCCGCCCCGTGACAATCTCCAGGATCAAGACGCCAAAGCTGTAGACGTCGGATTTCTCCGTGGCCTTGCCCGCGAACGCGAGCTCTGGAGCGATGTAGCCGGCCGTCCCAACTCTCGTCATCGTCTGGAGGACTCCCTGGTCGGTGTGATCGAAGAGCCTTGCCAGGCCGAAATCCCCGAGCTTGGCCTTGAAGTTCTTGTCGAGAAGAACGTTTGCGGCCTTGATATCTCTGTGGAGGATGCATTCCTCGTGTCCCTGGTGGAGAAACTTGATGGCTTCCGCGACTCCATGGATGATCTGGGACCTTCTCTCCCATGAGAGGAACTTTTCGCTCTCGGAGAAAAGGTGTCTGTCCAAGCTTCCATTCGGTAAGTACTCGTAGACTAGCATGAGCTTTCCTCTAGAGTGACACCAACCTTGGAGATCGACTAAGTTCGGGTGTTTGATCTTTCCCAGTGTGGAGAGCTCCGCCAGGAACTGGTGCTCGACTTCCAAACCGGTTTGCGCCAAGATCTTCACTGCGACAGTCGTCGGGCCTTTAAACTCGGCTTTGTACACTGTTCCAAATGCTCCACGGCCAAGGACAAGTCTCTCGTCAAATCTCCCGGTAGCTCGGCTGATATCGTCATAGCTAAAGTGAGCTAACAGTTTGCATCCATTTCGATGAAAGCTCTTCAAGATCGGTTTTCCCAGGCATACGTACCAAAGCGACGCGAGTCCCACGGCTACTAGTGCTATGCCAAGCACGGGATAGATTTGGCTAGCAAAGCCAAGAGCTGCCGTCTTCGACTTTGAATCTCGATGCCGAGACGGAGGTGACGATCGGTGATTTTTGTAGTTTGAGTCGAATTGCCATCTCATGATCTCGTGGCTGTCGTTGCAGGAGCCAGAAGAGGCGGAAAAGCCAATGAACATACTCCTGTGGAAAACCTCAGATAGTTGGAGCCCCGATACCGCGAGAAGCGCGTTTGCTGGCTTGACCCCGATGTTTTCATTCGAAACACGGACCTGCAACACATCAGTTGAAGCATCATAGTCTATCCACGCTTTGGAGTTTGCGGTCTTGAATGGTGGAAAGGAAGGGCGTTCCCAACGGGCTGTTTCAAGCGAGATCATGCTGTTAACATTCACACCGACGTGACTCCATGGTGGATCGGCAAACTCAACGTTCTGGACGCTGTCAAACTCTACAGCAAACAGATGGTTGGATGCATTACCGGCAGTGGAAGAGTTCATCAGGCCGAGATATCCAGCATCGCTTCCATTGGGTGGGCTGCTAGCGCTCGCTGCAGCAACGAAGGCAAACCCGTCGCCTTGTTTACAGTTGGAGCGGTCCAGAGCACTGTTTACTTGGAACTCAAAGACGGTGTTGAATGAGGAGATCCGGATGTTTTTGCCAGACTGGTGGACGAACCTGATAGGCAAAGCATAGAAGACCCGGCCAGCGTTTATGATGGAGGAATCGAACGCTCCGGTAAGCTCCAAACTTTCATTTGTGGCTCTAGCTTGTCCTTGTATAAGAAGAGCTTGACTCTGTTTGAATGATGGTCGCAGATCGAAACTAATCGCTTCACCTGCAAGCGAGCATCTCACTGAGATAATGGCTAATGCGGCGAACAGCAAAGTATCTTTCCTCATCCCTCTTCTCGGAGAAAGAGCAATGGTCAGAAATGCTCTAAAACACCCTATATAAATCAGACGTTTTTGGTACGTAATCATTGGTCGATGTTTTTTCTATTTCTGCTTTTGTATTTGTGACTTAGCTTTGGACTTATCATCACTGGCTTTCTCTACAAGGTAACTTCTTTGATATCTTTCGTTTTGACAGCTTGCTTGATCGAGTTTTTACAGGGGTTGCTGTTGTGAGGAGCTGAACGGGTACTCTGAGGTTGAGCAGCTGGAAGGGATTACTGGCGTGTCCGGATAGTAATACAGAGTCATAGGCCTTGAGGCGTGAGGAGTTAGAGGGGCAGCATCGCCGGTAAGCATTTGGCAACACTTGCGCATGGTCGGTCTGTCGTTTGCATCCGGATGGCAGCACTGCAAAGCCATGTAAAGCACCACGGTCACCTGTTCTACGTCGAAGTCATCCTGTAGCTTCGCGTCCACCACCTCCATCAGTCTCCCCCTCTCGTGCATTTGCCATATCCAGTCAAGCAGCAAGACTCCTTCTTTGTCGAACTCAAAGTCTAAGTCGAGTGCTCGTCGTCCAGACACCACTTCCAATGCAAGAATTCCGAAACTGTACACATCTGACTTCTCGGTGGCTCTCCCGGTGTAAGCCAGCTCCGGAGCTATGTAGCCTGTCGTTCCAGCCTTTGTCATTGTTTGCGGACCTCTGCTGTGTTCCATGAGCCGAGCCAGACCGAAGTCCCCCAGCCTTGCCGTGAACTTGCTGTCCAAGAGCACGTTTGCGGCTTTGACGTCCCTGTGAATCACTCGTTGCTCCCATCCATCGTGTAGGAAAGTGAGAGCTTCACCAACGCCTTTGAGAATGTGGAAACGCTGCTGCCAAAGAAGAGTTATGTCGGCTGAAAACAGGTGCTTGTCGAGGCTTCCATTCGGCATGAACTCGTAAACAAGTAAGAGCTTCCCCTTGTCATGACACCACCCTTTGAGGCTCACCAGGTTTCTGTGTTGCAGCCTTCCGATCACAGATAATTCTGCTAGGAATTGCCTCTCGCTCTGCAGCGAAGCCTCCGAGAGCAGTTTCACCGCAACGAGAGTGCCATCTTTGGGAAGAATGCCTTTGTAGACTTTGCCGAAGCCACCGCTTCCGATCATTTCTTTCCTGCTGAAGCTTCTTGTAGCTGCACTCAGCTGCTTCAAGGTGAAGTACTGTACTGTTGACGGCAAGCTTGTGAAGTTCTTACTCGGCTTACCGTTTGATATCCAGAAACAAAAGAGCAGCACTACCGTAGCGAGGAAAAGCAGACCTATGGATGGTAAAAGGATGATGGCCATTTTCTTGCAGATCCACTTGTTGCATCCTGTCGATTTGTTCTCCGGCAGATACGCAGAATTTGGATCCGTGCTGCCGTTGGTTGCGCTGCTGTTTATGTAAGTCGAGAATTTCCATGTCAGGATCTTGTGAAGCTCGTAATTGAGGCTTGTGGCTGCAGAGAAGCCGACGTACATTTTTTCTTGGACAATTCCTGCGAGTTCTACCTGGTATTTCAGGAGGGGAAGACGTGGTCTCTGAGACAGAGTGCTGACTCTGATTTCAAGCAGCTGCTGCGAGCTTTCATACTCAACCCAAGCAGTGAGCGTGGAATTGCTACGAAGAAGGTTTGTGAGTTCACCTTCCAGTTTGAAGACATCGACTGACCGGATGCCATTTATGTTCACTCCAATATGGTCGCGTGCGGGATCTCCAGCGCTGCTGTCCTGAAAGGTGTCGAACTCCACGGCCAGGAAATGGTTCCTGGAGTCTCCATCCAGGGAGGCGTTTGTGAGACCGAGATAAGCTCCGGCGCTGTTAAGCGGCAACTGTGGATCCGAGACGATCATGAAGGCCATTCCATCTCCGGGACGATAGGACGAGTTGTTGAACTGGACGAGCTTGAAAGTGAAGATGGAGCTGAAGGAGACGCAGGTGGAGCTGTCGTCGGGGTCGAGAAACTGGATGGGATCGACGTAGTAGGCCCTGCCAGCGCTGTTGCCGATGACAACATCCACCGAGTTCGTGGTGAGCTCGACGTCCTCGGTCGTCTTGGACGCGTTTCCTTCCACGTTGAGGTAACGATTGTTGGTGAAGGGAGGATCGAAGGTGAAGCTAACGAGCGTTTCCAGGCCGGGAGAGATGTGGTTGCCGATGGAAGAGGTGAAGAGGAAACCAAGCAGGATAGTTGCTACAAGTTCTAGCAGAGAAGACGAAGAAGAGAAAGCAAACGAAGAAGAAGAAGCCATAGACACTCGTAGCTGCGGCTTATCAAGGCATAGCCGCGAAGGGGATTAACAATCATGGTGGAGAAAAGTATGGAGAGGATAGAACAGAGGAAAAGGGGACGATGATCAGAGCAAAGACGACCAGTTAGCTCCAGGGGCTGGTGTGAAACAAGGTTTTGGAGGATGGAGCTCTAGCTTTCTGGGATTTTGCGAGCTCGGCATACTTGTCAATTTTGCTGAGGCTGTAGAGCACTCGGTCCCGGGAGGCTGCGGAGGAAAGCATTACGTTCTCTCTCTCTCTCTCTCTCTCTCTCTCTCAGGATGAATGGTTTCGAGCTCATCCACAGCGGCCTAGACAGCTTTTTGGTGGAGGGATTTGTTTAGAGTTTTTTTGCGGTACGGGGGACTGGCTTTCATGGCAGCGACTTGGGAGGTACATTTCTTGGAAGAGCTTGCTTGGATTTGGATCTAACACGTCAATGTTATTGACTTGATTCTCTCGTGGTTTTCTTGGCTTTTTTTTTGGTTTAGAACATCCCAGACGAAGAACGGGGATACGCAAAACAAAGAAGCAAAGAAAAGCGAGTATATTCGCTTCACGTGAAATCATCGAGTGTGGTACTATGCCGTAGGAGAAACGAAAAGATCTTTCTGGAAATTCTTTAGACCATATCCATTAAATGGTTTTTTTTTTTATATTGCTCGAGGTTTAGAGGGTTTCTAGGGTTTAGCGATGGCGCTCTCTCGATAGGGTGAGCGATAGCGGCACAGGGAAGAGGCGCGGGAGGGATCGCTGCGCTCAGCGGGAGCCTCTGCTTGAAATGTGGGCGTGTGGATGCTGGGATTTTGGAATGCGGTCATGAAAATTCTAGCGTTCGAATCTGGGAAGTTCGGTGTAACGCGGATTCTAAGAAAGAAAATGGTACGGGGCTAGTAGTTTTGCGTACGCTTTCTCGTAGAGATGGAGCTCGCTGATTCTTTTGGTCGCGTGAATTGCTCGACATCATGCGAGGCGAGAGGGGGTTACGAATTGGAGCTATGGATCGAAAGCAAAAGACAAGCTTGAGTCTCTTATGCTGCTATACAGAAAGCTCTCCTTTCACGCTCACTGGTAAGCCTTACTACAACTTCGCTTTTTTATACATGCTTATGACTTAGAACTTGAGCTCTTGCAGCTGAGCCTGAGGTTGATGCCTGTACAAGCGACCGATGGACGCACTAGTACGTAGGTTTGCCACCCCATTCTCTACTTTCTGAAGAAGCTGCTCTTTTTCCCGTAGTCTTGACGGTGCTGCATCATCTCCATAACCACGCTCAGCGAGAAGTCCATGTCTATGGATGCATCTTCCCGTGGTAGAGGAGGCAGAGGCGGATCGATGATGCTGCGTCCTTCTTCCAGCATCTTGACGGCACTCGACATGGAGGGCCGGATCCTCGCGTCGGCTTGAATGCACCAAAGCCCGATTTTGAGGAGGTTTTTCATCTGCCGGCTGTGGGACGAGACCTCCGGGAGTATTTTGGTGTCCACCATCTCGAAGAGGCGGCCTCTGTGAGCAACTTGAAAGGCCCAGGTTCCCAGGTGTCTGAGCATCTGTTTTTCGTAGTGGATCGTCTTCTTTCCACTCACGACTTCGAGCACGAGGATTCCAAAGCTGTACACATCCGTCTTCTCGCTCACTCTCATCTGGAGCCATTCGGGTGCCATGTAGCCGGGGGTGCCTCGTACAGTCATCGTCGTCTTTTCTGCGGCAAGGCTGGAGAATCCAAAGTCGGAGATCTTTGCTCGAAAGTTGCTGTCTAGGTGGACGTTCTCGGACTTCAAGTCCAGGTGGAGGACGTTGTTTGAGTGAAGGCAAGCGAGTCCTTTTGCAACATCAACAACAATTTGCAACCTGGAGGTCCAACGGAGGGCATCGTCACTGTTGCCGAAGAGAAGCTTATCCAGGGGCGTCCTGCTGTACATGTAGTCGGAGTAGACGAGGAAGAAGCTGGACCGGAGCAGGCAGAAACCTTGAAGCTCCACCAAATTGCGGTGCTGGATGCTGGACATTTTCGTCACTTCTTCCATGAAGTCCTCCTTGCTCAACCGTCGACTTGCCTCGACCTTCTTCACAACTACTCTCTTTCCAGAGCTGCGGAGTCTGCCTTCGAAGTAAGCAACTTTACCATTTCCTGGATTGTGCTTTCTGACAAACTTACTCGTTGCAGCTTGGATCTCGTCGTAACTGAACTTCCTTGGAAACGAAAACTGCTGTGATGCTGCGTCTGCCAAGATGGAAGTGCAATCTTCATCTTCCTCGCGGGGGCGTTGTTCTTCTTCCTTGTTATCGTAGTGAAGCAGCTTCTTGAGCCACCTGAAAATTGTGATCAGCGACATCTCATCCCCCAAAATCTCAGGTACTGTTCACGGAGAGTCATCTCTTATCCAACATTCCAGCATTGAAATTGCTGTCAGGAGTTTGTCCGAGAACTAGAGCGTCGGGGAGATGACGGAGCTGACAAAGCATAGCCGCGGACATCGTGTTTGTAAGGCGTGCGACCACGACCAAGCGGTAGGCTATTCTATTCTCTACTCAAGTGTCACTCCAGCTCACTCTTCTCTGGTTTCCTCACGAAAAAAAATCGCAGCTAAGCTACTGGCTACATCGACCACCAAAGTAATCTTCGAGGCTCTTCCTGGAACTCACGAAATCCATGCTGCTACTGCTTTGATCGCACTCGGATGCGACATCGTCCTCGACTCCGAGCATGGCCAGCGCAAGGTGAGTCCTTACCTCACAGTCGGATGTGGAAGGCCGTGCGTAATCCTCATCTATGCAGTGCTGCTCTTCGCCTTTGCAAAGCTTTAACTCGCGGTTGGCCCACAGGAGGCTGTTTTCTTCGTCACCGCTCAGCAACCTCGATATCTTTAAGACCACGCACACACACACACCTGTTAAGACACCGGAAAATATCGTTGTTGGCGAAACTTACTCTGCGCATTCGCGGTCTGTGTTGAGGTGACTGTCGAAGGCACAAGGCTGCTGCCAGGACCATAAGTTTCATATGCTGGACATCGTAGTCATCATGAAGTCTCGGATCTACCAGCTTCTCCAGATTTCCACTCTCGAGAAGAGGTCGTCCCTGAAAGAGACAAGACGCCAAACTTATTCGAATACGTGATTTCGACAGGTAGGTTGAGGTGGCATTACCCATTTTATCAAGTTTTCTTGACCCTTTTGATTTGACGCGTTGATCGGGTGCTTTCCAGTGATGAGCTCCAGAAGAACAACGCCGAACGAGTACACGTCCGTCTTCTCGTTGAGCTTTCCAAACATGAAGTACTCGGGCGCTAGATATCTGTAAACGGAAGTGAGGATTTTCAACGAGGTAGAGGAATAAATGAGGTGAGTTTTCAGCGTTTCATACCCGAAAGTTCCTACGACGTCTGTACAGGTTATGTGAGAAGTTGTTGTCGGTGCCCATTTTGCAAGTCCAAAGTCCGAGATCTGCGAACAAGTTAGTTTTTTTTCTCTTCAGGCAAGTTAGTTATTACCAGAGCTTCGTTGGTCGACGAAAGAAGAATGTTTGACGACTTCACGTCCCTGTGAATGACAGGCCTCGGGCATCCGTCGTGGAGATACTCGAGTCCTTCTGCAGCACCAATTGCAATCTTTCTCCGCGAAGGCCAGTCCAGAAAAGACGTTTTCGAGTTTTCTCCTGATCCAGACCAAAGGGAGACTTGACGATTAGCGAGCGAGACTCAAGAGGAACACGTACCATGCAAGCACTGTTCCAAGTTCCCATTTGCGGCAAAGTTGTACACCAGCATACGTTTTTTGGAGTTGGCGCAGTAACCAAGTAAGGAAATAACGTTCCTATGTCTCAAGCTGCTCAATATCTCAACCTCTGTAACCAGCTCGCCTTCTGAGTCAGCCGTGACTTCATTCAAGCATTTGACAGCAATTGCTTGACCATTTGCCAGAGTTCCTTTAAAAACTTGACTACAGCCACCTCTTCCGACCAAGTTTTCTAGACAAGAGAAGCAAAAGACCGGTAAGAGACTGTTGTTCGAGCATGGATAGCTTACTTGATGATAAATTGCTGGTGGCTTTCAGCAGCTCCTCCGCATCGAATTTTACTGCCGCAGAGGTGTTCTTCGTGTAGAGAAGTTGCAGCCGCTGGCTCAATGACAATGATGAAGCCGTGTCTGCTGGTTTCTCGTCGTTGAGCTTGCTCGCCTCTTCCTGCTCAAAAGGAGCCGCGACTTCCTGCCGAAGACACTCGAGAAGAAGAGATCTTTCCCGCGGTGGAGGAGCACTCCTGCACTTGGACAAGAGTTTCTGTTCGCATCCAAACTCACTGCTGGACGACGAAACACTGTCTCTGGCGGAGGAACACTCGAGCGCCTGGCGTCGCCTCTGGGACCTGTTTGGAAGCTGTAAGGCCCAGTTAACTACGGACAGCTCCCTCTCCTCGGGCTCTCTCGACGGCGAAGAAACAACTTTGTCCAGAGGAAATGCGCGAAGTGGCCATCCCTGCAAGGCTTTCCCATCTTCACAGGTCATCGAACTCCCTTGCGAGCTCGACAGGTGCTCTTGGCTCTCTTTCGATTCCGGGGGCTTGAACTCGTCCGTGTTGGGGTGAAGAACGCTGACAGGAGAAGCTGAGAAGGATCTGTCGGAGTCGGACAAGTTGGCCTCCAACACAACGCTGCTGCGACCAGAGTTTGAGGAGCCTGGATTGTTGTCGTTGCTCCCGCCAGGCGAGTCATTATCAGTGCCACTGGTATCGAATTCCGAAGCTTGGTGGTGACTGCTGCTGCAGCTCAGGCGCTTCATGATTCCTCTTTGAAGAACACTAGGCGTGCATGTTTGTGCGCAGGAGCTTACTTCTTTCCCTGGAATGAAGAACCGCGGTAAAACCACTATCTTCTCTCTCTCTCTCTCTCTTTAGAATTGCAACTTACCAGTGTTGTTGCTGCTGCTGCTGCTGCTGCGATATCCAGGCCTCTCGAATATCACTTTCCCTCGGTCAATTATCGTGACTGAGCAGCTGCTTGGGAGCCTCTTCAAACAGTATTTTGCGAGGGATGTGGACAAACTAAACCGCACACGACAAAACCAAAACAGCAGAAGAAGCAAAGAAGAAAACCACTCGTAAGTAAGCGATTCAAGCTTTGAAGTTGTAACGAAGCTAAACTCTCTAGATGGATGGAAGCTTCCCGTCAACGCGTGTTAAATGGGAGTGGTCGCTTACCCAGTCGGCACAAATCTGCTGGTACCGAGGATCAATTTCGTAGCGTCCTCCAACTTGGCAGCATCCACCAGGCACTCTTTAACACTGGCTCCAACAACCACTTTAATGTCCAACTTGATCTGCGACACACAAAGCAAAAGCAGCAAAGACAAGAGTGAGGAAAGAAGAACCATTAAAATTTTGGTGTGAGGTACGTATGTATGATCGCATTTTCTAGAGCTAGCAGCAGCTTTTGTTTCTCTGATTTTTTTTTGTTGCTGACGAGTGATTACCTGCTTGAGCGTACAGAGGCCCTGGTACACTCCTAAAACACCTTGAAAGGTCTCGTCCAGTTCCTTTCTGGTGGCCGGATCCAGCTCCGAAGACAGTGCTGCCAAAACGTTACAAAGTTTTACAGGGTTTTTCGTATGAAAAAGGTATGTGAAGGAAAGCTCTGTCTTTGCAGAAAGGCAGGAGATCTATCTAACGTGAGCTCTCTTTCAGATGAGCCACGAAGAAGTTTGAGATTGAAAAACGGAAGAAAAATGGAAGTTTGCTTACCGGTAGAGGAGGAAGATTGGAGGACATGAACAGCAATGACGTGATCTCCCGGGATCGTGAGCCTTGCGACTATCCATGTCAGGCGCTCACGGCACTCGGAGCTCAGCTTCATACCAACGAGAAGAATTCGCTTTGCGGGTGAAGAAGAAGAAGAAATCTTCGCCATTTTCCTTACCACCACCTTGTTCTTCTTCTTCTTCCTCTGGAAGAAATCGGCCACATTGCGAGTCGCTCCTCGCAAATTCTCCCTTCTTTACTCTTCTCTCTTTTCTTCCACCGATCGCAGCGAATTCATCACCTCACCGATGGGATCACGAGAAAGCGCTCACAAGGGCGATCAAATCTGGCCCCAAAAACGAGCGGCCAAGGAGGGAAAAGGGAAAAAAAAACGGACGCTCGCTCGTTGCTGGGTCGCTTTCTTTCAGCTATAGCTCTCGACTCGAAATCTGTGGAGCGAGCGAGCGATTGAAGAGAGCGATAGGCGATTTTAAACCGATCCAACAACCATGCCCAGAAACGATTCCAATCTAAATTTCTAATTGAGCGCGCTCGCGCAGCTCCCTTTCTTGGCGGTTCTCTTTCTTTCTTCAAGTAACTGTGATTAATTTTAATGTAACGCTGCTTAATTAGCGCATTAATGGAAAACTAGAATAATGCCTGGAGCGAGGAATTGACGGGTCACCGGTTCGATTCCCTCGGCAGGTCTGGTTGGTTGCAAAGGTTTGCTTTTCCATTCTTCCAAGGCAAAGAGAAGTTGGGTAAAAAGGACAAAGATTCGTTGGATCTAACCTTGGGGAGTCTTGTCTTTGGATTGCTACATTTTCTAATCAATAAAATAAGATTGACTTGACTTAGTCCAGTCCTTTAGAAACAAATAATTCAAAGTTCATGGATATACACTAGTCACAGTCAGCTTTTCTTATATGTGTGGTGTTACAACTACGAGATTTAGAACATTCCCAGTTCTACTCGCGTCAACTTTTCTTTAACTTAGTCCACAAGCAACAGAAATTCGATGGCGAACGCTTTCTCTGCGGCACTCGGAGCTCAGCTTCATACCGACAAAAAGAATTCTTCCTTTGTGCTTCAAGGAGCTTGAAATCGGCCATCCCTTTACGGTGTGTTTAGTGACGAGACCAGAAAAAAAGGGTAAAGAAAAAACAAAACATTGGCGGTAGTTCCTCGCGCATGAATGCTCTTTCGGTTCGAACCGGTTTATTCCTCGGTGGGTGCAGATAACGAAAACGAAATATAAAAATGAAACAGCTATCGGTAGCCAGAATATACCTCGCGCGTGATAGCTCTTTCGTTTTTATATTTCGTTTCGTTTTCTGCGGGTGATTATTCTACCCACCGAGGAATAAACCGGTCATTTCCACGATTCAGTATAGCGCACACGCAATCATGATCGGTACAATCCAGTAACCCGGACAACATGCCACCAATGACACCACAATGCTTGGCATTGTAATACATGCGGCAACCGTAATAACCATCCGGAACGACGAGCACAGCAAGTGGATAAGCCGCCGCCCTCACGCGCTCGAGGTACTCCTCGTCCGTCATCCACACCAGCCACTCCGGCACCATCCCCGCCCATACGTCTCTTTCTCCGCAAAAGCATGCCTCTCCCAGCGCGTCTCGTCGTTGCAATAGCATGGCATGGGCGGGCTTGGGCCATCCAGCGGAACGTTGCCACTGATCTGGAAGCTCTCAAAGATTTGTCCTGCAACTTGACGAGCCCAGGTCCGCAAGCACAAACTCAGTGCCAGCTTCCACCCACTCCCGTGTCAGCTCCTCCCCATCCTCGTCGTCGATGTCGGGTGCAAAAACAGGCCGGCCTCGGAGCTTCTCGAAGATTGGGCCTGCATTGCTCTGAGCCGGGAGGTAAGTCCTCTTCCTCATACACCCTCACTGCATGCACCAAGGACAAGCTTCTTGGTCAGCCTGTAAATCAAATCAACTCAACTCCCTCTCTCAAACCTTTCTTTTCTTAAACCTCTTGTAGAATCTTGCATCTGCAATCCGTGTCGAACAAAAAAAACAGACCTGGAAACAGCTCGGTAAAGGGCTGGCCATGCAGAGGGACGTCCCCGGAAATGATTCTGTCCACCATCTCCGGGCTCTTGCAGAGGTAACTCATGACGAAATCCGCGCACCACAGGTCGCCCTTCGACCAAAGGATGCGTTCGGTCCAATAGTTGCACTCCAGGCCGAAGAAAGGCTTGCCCCTGCAGCAGTCACACAGTGCCCCTAGGCGCTGCTTGTCCATGGTGAGCTCGTACTGCGGATTGGCAAAGTGCTCGTCTCTGAAGAGGATGCACGAAGTTCATGAAATCTACGCATTAAGAGGGACAGCAAACCTGTCAACGACATGTACTGTCTTCGAGACCCTGTGATAAGAGCGAGTGAAAACTTAGTTTGCAGTGCGTGGAAGAGAGCATACCTGGAAAACAGTGGTCAATGTCAATGCTCTCGCAACAGGAGCCGACTGGGGATCAAGGTCGTAACAGACTGGGGGATCAGCACGACCTTTGGTACCTAGCAGCGCAAACTTGTACGATATAGTTTTGTGCGGACTCGCAAGTACACGTGAGACGAAGGCTTCGATTAATCCGTGACCTGCAACATTCAGCTTGTTATCAGCGAAGGTGATCTAGAGGCTGATATACCTTTCGTCGCTGGCGCCACGGATGGGAAGATCTTATGCTCCGGGGTCTTGAACGATGCTGGTGAACAAAGCATTTAAAGAAAAACTTGGTGAAACGAGACGAAAGAAGAAACTTCTCACTCACTCTTCCCTTGAAGAACGTCGCTCTGGCCATGTCTTTCCGGCGATGATGTTCACTGCACTCTTGCAGCGTATGATCTTGCTAATACAATGCCGACGCCACTCCCCCGCATGATGTACACGATAACCACGGGGGGACGCAAACACAGGCTTGAAGATGCAGCATTCCCGTAGCCTCTCGTAGGTTTCTTGCGAGAGGCCTGGCTGCTCCATGAAATCGGCCGCTTCACAGAAAGAGTGTAAGTTAGAGCAGATCACGGCGATTCCAATATCGTGCTCCTCGGCAGTACGTGACTCCCTGGCACTCCTGGCATCTGTGAGAAAAAAAGCAAAAAGCAGTTCGAAAGAGAAGTTGAAATCGCGGTAGTAAGAAGAATCTCCGCAAGAACAAAGGTTAGCCAAGCACGATCTTATTAAAAGAAAGGAGGAACTTCGGCATAGGGTTTGCTATGGCGGTGTCTCATTTCGCGGCTAAGGCAGTAAGTGCAAGCGATGGAGCGCACGTCTGATTTCCTCTACTCCATCCCTGTAGGGGATGGCCGGATGGCGCTTGCGTAGTTCCCCCGGACAACAAGGATACTCGTCGTCTTTGTTGGTTACCCCCTGAAATTCACGTTGTTCTTCGAGCGAAGCACGGATTTTGAATCCACAAACTGGCTTTTCCGAGTTAACTTGTTTCCCTCTTTGCTTGCTGGATGCACCGCGGGAGCCATAGCATCCTGCTTGTTGGCAAAGACGAGCACCACCGCCTGGTGGAAGTCCTCGTCCGGAAGAGCTCGTCCTAGATCACCGACGCTCTCTCCTTGCACACCATCCGAAACCACGACTGGCACATTTATACTTGTTGGAATGTCTAAAGACCAAGGATCGGAGATAAAGGCAAAACGGATTGGATCGAGAGAAAGAGCATGACTCACTCACTCTCTTGGCGGCAGCGTTGAAGAGGGCTTTGCTCACAATCCCGGTAGCTTCGATGTTGCGGCCCACGCACTTTGAAATGCAGCTGCTCTCAGATCCACCCAGGCTGCTAGGCTTGATGACGGCTACAAACGTACCCCGAAGAACTCCTGCGCTGGTTCTTAATTGCGTCATCCTCCACGTTGTCAAATCTGCCACGTCATACTGCCACGACAACGCATCCACAGGGCCAATGCAGAGGTCATCGTTGAGTGGGATCATCCGAATGACGAACTTGATCCCAGCTCTTGGCATAAAGAGCGTGGCTTGTTAGTTCCGTTTCGCCACTATTGCAAGGAGCCCGACGAGGAGGAAGCAAGGCGGGGGCGGTAAGTAGATTATTTATAATTTTGAATCTATTATAAATAGGATATGGGATGAGGTAATAGTTCCTTCATTGTGAGATTGGGCTGTAATCTTGGTGCACCACCAGCCAACAGATTTTAAAAAAGAAAAGCAATCAATGGTTAGTAACCTGTCCACAAACCATTCAGTAGTAAAGCTTGAGAAGGTAGGCCTAGCCGTGATGGTGGCTAGGGTTGTTTGAGGACATGGGGGCTACAAGTTGGCCATGCTAGTGTCATGGAAGTTGCAACTTAGATGTTTATAATAAAACACAAAACTTTGGTTTTATAATTTATAAACATAAAATTAATCTAAGTTTTTAGATGGAAGAAAAAAAATTCAATATTCTAAGTATATTCACTACATGTTTGCTTAAGCAAACCAAAAAACAGCTTTAGTAGATTAAAAAAAATTATGTATAGAAAACTATGAAATATTAGAATATTTTCAAATTTATAAGTAGTAATAGTCAATTTCATTAAATAAAAATAATAAAGTGGAGTGCAGGTATTAATTCAAAAACTTTTCTGTGTGACGCTTGGTTAGTGTTTTTGTACCAATTATATAAATTATGTAGATTATTCTATTATCAAGATCTAAAACTGTTTATAGCCTTGAAATATACTTAAGTCTAGAAATTGATAAGTAATTTTTATAATTACTTGAATCTTTTTATATAATTTTAAATTCAAAAGATACATAGTTTATAATAATTATCTTGAGAATACACTGATCTTGGGCACTAAAGAAGATATTAGGAAAATCTGAATCTACAAAAGAAATCATGAAGATAGAGAAAGTGAAAGAGTCTAGAGGAATTGTTAGATGGCCTCAAAGCATATAATAGTAAAAAAAAATTGAATTTTGAAAATTGTTTACTTTGCATATAAGAAGATGCTAATTTAGTTTAGAATGTCCACAAATATTGCATTTACATCCTTCATAGAAAGGCTACATAAAAAGCTGCAAACTTACAGTACTCCTCACTGATGGTGAAGAGGGAGCTTCCCTACCAAGCTTTGAATTTTGCATTACCCACAAGAAAGCTTACAATTTGTTCAAGAAAATTGATAAATTATAAATATTTTTATTCTAATAAACACTAGATAATCTAAATGTATATCAGCCATTAGATTGTAGAATATGTTAGAATATATTTGGGGGTGTTTATATAAACATGTATATAATATCTTAGATGGTAGAATATACTAAATTCTAAGTATACTCATTGCCAATTCACTTAAGCAAACCAAAAACATTTGTATTACTTCATGCTTTTCCTATTTTAATTTTATAATTAATGAATATAATTTGTATTAAATTTTGAATGTGATAGCTAACAAGTTCAAAAGAGTAAAATTTGGTATTATAGCATGGCTTTTAAAATTAACTTAAAGTAAATTAAAATTAAACTAATTCTGATGAAGAAACTGGTATGGCATGACAATCAGTGATCTACCATACGCTTGGGATCAATATAAAATTAAAAAGCTTCAGTAAACCTTAATTTATCTACTTAAAGGATACATAAAATTGTAGTAATGTAAGGTCTGAATATATATATATATATATATATATATATATATATAACCTTGCCTAAATAATAAAAGTATTATAGCATATAGATTGTCCATTTAAGATTGAATTTAATTAATCCATTTTTGTATATAAGCAAGGGTTTACGACAGTCCAAATATAACCCCAAATAATATACCTATTTTCGTATATATAACACTCAAAGCTTTTTGGTAGTGCTTTGCTTTAGTGTTTGAGATTATGCTTTGTAACTATTTATTCATTCTCTTTTGAATCTATATCTATATTAGGTTTTTGCAAGATTAGAATTTCAATTATTATTGTGCTTAAATTTGCTATTTTTTTAATCTTTATTATATTCTCTTGTTCCACCATACCACCCCATCATCGATGAAAGAGTATGTCACTTGAGATTGCTAATGCTACTCCATAGGATTGAGTTTTTAATGTTGTAGAGCGTGATTATACTAGTGTTGCACCCATCTTTAATGTTTTGCCATCTTCAATTTTTATAGGTGTAGTGCACGTGGTTTTGACCCTTTATCCTATGGTGATTTACCATAGGATAACACCACGAAGCGGAACCTAAACCCTTTTTGTGCCACGTGACAGATGCCACGTGTCACATGCCACGTGTCCATAGGAACCCGAGGTTCCCTTGGGCCACTGAATGAAGGAACAGTGCCAAACTCCCAAGCATGGAGCCAAGGAGTGATGGAACCGAACCACGGAGCAACTCCCGAGCATAAAGCCCAAGGAGCAAAGGGACAGGGGCCCGGAGCGACTTGGAACAGTCCTAGAGTAACCAGCATCCCAATGCCAGGATCAACATGCAAAACGGAGCCAAACAGAGTTTGGTGCTATTTCGGCATACTGGTGGCCTAACGCGAGGACATGGGTACTCCACCAGCTAGCATGGAATGGAACTTGGGCTTAGACCTAAGCCAGACGCAGAACAAGGACAGGCACGCAAGTGGGAGCTAGACTATGCCTCAGGCTGGTCAGCCATGCCCGACCTACCCATTATCCCTACTATACATTTGGAACCACCCCCCATAACCCCCCCCCCACCCCTTTGAGGAACACACGCTTTAGGCTTTCACCCCAAGCCTCCTTTAGTATCAGGAGTTAGTCTCTTGGACAAGCTCAAAACTTATAATTATGGGATGGGCACTAGATTGTGATTTGGACACGGGATGACATCCATGTGTTTCAGGCCGATCTCTACATTCCATAGATATGCCAAATGAGCTAATCTAGACACTTTCCATAAATAGCATTTGGGACCGAAATGAGACTAACATGATAGCGAGGGTGTTTGGTAGACACGGTAAGCTATCATGTAGCGATATTGAGGGACCAATCTCAATCTTGTCAAGCCAATGCAAGACAGAGCAAAAGAGAACTAAAAAGCCAGGCCAAGTATGCTTGGCTGAATAGACACTTAGGAATTCCGTCCTTATGCTCATCCGGCCAAGTACAGATGCAAAGTTCAATTTACTAACACTTGAACAAGAGGGGCTGATAAAGGGTCCAGCAATACCGACCTCCTGCCATCGTGGCAGTAAGGTAAGAGTGTCCGTAAGGATTGGTCAATAGGTAACTTTCGATACCCGAAGTCACATGCGCGACAATAGGGTATCATTACACAATTTTTCTTATTTTCAATGTTCTACCATTTTTTATTGATGTGAAGCATGATTGTGACATTGATTAGAAAGTTATGGATGGTGTAGTTTGGTTCTTGAAGAATGTTTGGGAACCAAGTTTATTAGAAGATGATGTTTACAAGCTCGAATGAATTTCAAATTGTGATGAATAACTTAATCATTATGGAGATATCTTTGGAGATTTTGTGAGGTAATGTACATCTTTCAATCTACCATCTAATTCTTTCTCTTTACCTTTTATTCTTTTTCAACCTTTTTTTTTATTTTTTTGGCTTGAGCCACCTTTTCATGTTGTTAGTATTTCTTCTTAATTTACAATTTTTCCTTTTCTTAGCACATCAATCATTTGTGACGTTTATGATTCTTATTCTCAACCTGAGAAATATTTTATGAAATTTTGTCAATGGTGTTGAGCTATCAGAAATACAAATTTGTTAGCTGAATTGATTGATACAAGAGAGTAAAATGCTTAAATTTAAGTAACAAAATAAAATACAATATATAAATCTTTAGTGATATAAGAATTAACTTATGAAAAACCTTAGAAGGATTAGAAACAGTAATAGTGAGATATCAAGAGTAGCATAGGCTTGAAATCACTGCTTACTAATAACCTATTTGCATGAGAAATAATATGAGAATAATCAAGATCTTGCAAAACTGAAAATAATAATAAAACAAGACATATTAAGAAGAAATAATCTTATAGAAATACAAGTATCAATATAGAAAGAAAGAAAGATTATATGAAAATAATCATATATATAAAGCAACTTCAAAATATTCCATCATAAGGAAATTAATAACTATAGTAACTTTACATAGAACAAGGCTATACTAACTTGTTTTTTTCTTCTCCAGAAAAAGAAAGGGAATAATACCGATTTCTTAGTTGTTACAAGCTTTTGGAAGTAGAAGATATATGTTAAATACTATTATGGAACCTTTGGTTGTTAACCTCCATAATTGGCATATATGCCCAAAGAAAGAACTTCTCTGAGGTCAAAAGAATGTTTGCTTCCATACTAAAGCAAGTATCTAAATGGCTGAAACCCCTTGATGGTATTCCTTTAGGAAACACTAATACTCACTTATATCATCTCTTCTCTCTACACTATCTTTTTGTCCCTATGCCCTAATTTAACCCTTAGCTTTCCACTTGCTCTTTGAGCATTTTGGTTTGCTCACAACCTAGTGAAGATATTTTTCCTCTATTATAGCTAATTGTGACTGTTATTATGGATATGTATTAAAGGATTATGTAGTTAAGTTTCATCTTGATCATTATGAGGAGAGAGAGAGAGAGGGTCATTGATCAGTCTAAAGCAAAAATCTCACAAGCATTTAATGAGTTCTTCAGTCAAGAATTATTATGATGATCATGAAGGAGCTAAACCTTAGACCCAATGCTAAAATTAGGTGTTAGGAGTTAAAATTTATCAATATGTTATCAGTAAGTTTTTAGGGATAGGGATGAATTTCATCATAAAGTATATTGAGCTACACTAAATCATTAGAAATGGATTTAGGAGATGTAGGAAAAGAATAAGACTATTGAGGATGCAAACCACAAAATGTTGAGTGTTTTGTGAATTTATGTTGGGAGTTGTAGCCGAATTTTGCAAAATGAAGTCAACCCAATCATTCTATTGATGAAAGATGAACAATGAAGATATTATTCTAATGTCTAGTTGCACATTCTAA